ACCTATGAGCAAATTCTAGTTGTTATTATTATTATTATTATTATTATTCATATATTCCTGTACTGGAAACACTCCAGTTCATGTTCAAGAATGAAAGTGATATGATGCAAACATGTACTCAGTCTGACGAATATGAGGACTTCTGTGATGAAAGCTACTTCAAAAATCATCCTTTGTTTTTGAGTAATATGTTTGCTCTCCAAATCCAGTTGTACTATGATGAGTTTGAGTGTGCAAATCCTCTAGGTTCAAAAAAAGGTATACATAAAGTTGGCTGCCTTTACTTCATCCTTAGAAACTGCTATTTGAATATTTGATCAAACATTTCATCTCTAAAGAAGCCTTGTTAAATAGGATATATGCTTTTAATTATGGCTATCTGGAAAAGAAAAAATAAGCCAACAAATATTAATCTTGAATCTGGAGAACATGGAATAGGGTTAAATTCACCACAAACACTGTGTTTGATCACAAACATTCCTTTGATAGTTGGTGACCTGGTAACAGAGGATGATTTGCACTGGCGTTTGTTGTTCTTGCTGCTGAACATTATAAACACTGTGTTCTCATACTCCATCAGCAAAGGGATGACTGTATATTTAAAGCACTTTATTATTAAACATCACCAGCTCTTCAAAGAACTGTACCCATCAAACAACTTTATTCCAAAACATCATTTTATGGTCCACTATCTGAGGTGCATTCAAAAAACTGAATCACTCATTCATGTCTGGACTATGAGATTCGAAGCCAAATACAAATTTCTCAAAGATTATGTGAAGAACTACAAGAACTTGACCATATCACTTGCAAAGAAACACCAGTTTGCAGTAGCTTATCATTGAGTCTGGTCCAGTCAAACAAAGTTTACTTGAAACACTCAAATATAAAGAAGATATATCTTCATATCTTCACATGGATTCACAGGCCACTGTCAACCTCACAAATTGGGTAAATTGTGGAGTTGAATATCGTGTTGGCCTCTTCGTTTGCACAGGCACTGATAAACACAACGGTGTTTAGCAAAATAATCGCTTATCATTTTGCATGATGGTACATTTGTTTTGGTTTTGGTTGAGCATGAAACTTGATTCCATGATCATTTCCGTGCTTTCCAAGTAAGTGAAAGCATTCCTAGAAAGCTACTGGTTCTAGAAAGGGATAGATTAAGACATTTCAAATTGTTTGATGCCCAAATGTCCTATGGGTGTGATTCACATTTTTATGTTGTGTAGGAGAGTTGGATTATTTAATTTGTCGACATTGTTTACTTCTACTTGTATTGTCCAACTGATCAGCACTGCTGTGTCTGATCCACTCATATCAGCACAACACACACACCATCACCATGTCAGGGTCACTGCAGTGTTGACAGTGATCTGCCACCCAAATACCTGCTCTCTGGTGGTCTTGATCATTGAAGAACAAGGAAAAGGAGGATAACAAGGTATTCAGAGAAACAGACAATCTGTAATTGTAGATCTATGAAGTGCGACTACATGGAAAATGGAACTGATCACATCCACAGTGAGTGTTGAAACAAGATGGTTTGTTGATGTGATTGGTTATGTTCATGAGTATTTAGGTTTAAAGACAAGCTCATGTTAATACACAGTCATGCATTATAGTTTTGTAATAGTTTGTCTTGTTAGATGTTTGTACATTGAACATGGTTGTGTTGCAAACACCCTTATTTCTATGATGGCACCCCTGGATAAACTTCATTTTCTATGTGAAAAGTTTTTATTTATTTTTTTAACTGAATTTAACACATTGTATAACAATAGTTCAAGTGCAGAGCGTAAAATGTGACCTGTATAAAAGTCATGGCAAATTTTGGTGCATTGTTTGTTTTCTAATAATATGAATTCAGCAAAAATGAAAAGTTATAAAGATGCACAGATAAATGTCTGTACATAAATATGTAACATAATTTTATTATGTTCCCTGTAGAGGAAATGTTAATTGTCACACATTCAACAGCCTCTAGCAAAGAACCGGACTTCATCTCCCAGACTCCTTTGGGAGATCACATGACGGAGCAACTTCCCTCCGACTCGGACTCAGACATGGACTGCATTTCCCACAATACAGTGGGGACTCACGTGACTTCTGACTCCCGCTCGCGCACCAATCAGCGCTCTGCATCTCCAGAATACTAACTGGTGTCACCTGTGTTTCTGCTCACATGACTAGTTAGTTTACTTTAAAGCCCGGGCTTCAGATAGACTAAGTGCGAAATATTGTATCCTTGTGATCTTCTGAGCGTTTGTATATTCTTGCCTGTTTTTCCATTTATTGACCACCATTTTGTATTTTCGACTCTGCCTTTTGCTTTACCCCTTTTGTGCCTTTGCCTGTTTGGACTGACCTGTGTTTTTGACTTCCTTGCCTGTTTTTGTGACCTCGTTTTTGCTCTGCCCTTTTGCTTTGTTTGCCTAATTATATTAAACTTGTCATTCTTCTTACATCCGCGAGCGTCTGTATTCTGCTGCCACATCACATTAATCAACAAGACACGTATTTTAAGCAGGCGTGTCAAGATTTCCACAAGACTGTGGTGATGTGGCATTGGCATTATTTTTATAGTACTGTTTATTTTCTTCTTTTAAGTGCCATTCACATTTGACCACACAATTTCTTTTAAATGCAAATGTCTGCTGTTACATCTTTACTCTGCTAGTGAAGAAATTCAAAATATATCTTGTTACACAGTTATCCATGCAGCATAGATTGTTAAACACGACTGTATGGATTTGTTAAATAAAAAAATAATATTAATCAGTAATGGTGTCTTTTGTAGTCATTTTCACATAAACGTTTGTGTTTTCAATATTAAATCAATAAGTAAAACACTTAAGCATTAATTTGTTAACTCTGTGAAGTAGTTCTTGTTGAAATTTAATTCAAATTGAGAGTTGTATTTTACTTTAGATGGGATAAGTGTTTTAACTCCCACAAGAGTTCAGTTTTAACTCCTGAAAAGAGTTAAAAGATCAACTCCCAGAAGAGTTACTTTAACTCTGCCCTAGAGTGTATTCGATGGTCACACATATACACTCAAAATGAGTTGATTTGAACTCACAGGAAGTTTATTCCAAAAGGCAGAATTTGCTGTGTACTGCTTAGGCACCATTTAAGGTGGAACAGAAACATTTGAACAAGAAGCTGGCAAATGTCATTCATGTCAATCATTTCTTTTACATAGCAATCGGCTGCATATCTGACAAAATGAAAATGCAAAATGGATAAATCAACAGCAAAGTGACAGTTTGTGATTCAGTTTTCAGCGTAGATGTGCTTTAAGTGTCAGAATGAAAAGGCAAATGCAAACGAACATTGGCGCCACCTGCTGGAGATTTACTTTTCATTTCCCACTTTGCTTTTTCGTTTTCAAACTGACCAACGTGCAAATATATGTTAATTAGCACTAGGCGGAGCTATGGGGTACATTTTAGGATATCAGACCTCAGAGTTAGAACGGCATCATTGCTAAAGGTAAACAACTTCGAGTCTCAAGAAAAACCACCGTCATGTCTCAGATCTGGTGAAACTGAACGTCAGAACAAACGGCCTCAGAGAAAAGGTATCAGACCAAATGCAAGCCTGGTCGAAGTTGTTCACCTTTAGCAATGATGCCGTTCTGACTCGGAGGTCTGAGGATGTCTCAAAATCTACCCCGTAGCCCTGCCTAGTGGTAATTAACATATATTTGTATGTTGGTCTGTTTGAAAACGAAAAAGCAAAGTGGGAAATGAAAAGTAAATCTCCAGCAGGTGGCGCCGATGTTCGTATGCATTTGCTTTTTCATTCTGACACTTAAAGCGCGTCCACGCCGAAAACTGTCACTTTGCTATTGATTTATTCATTTTGCATTTTCATTTTCATTTTGTCAGATATGCAGCCGATTGCTATGAAAAAGAAATAAGAACGTAAACATTACATTTTGATTTTAGTTTTGACACATATTCTGCATTTCGAGAAGAAAAGCCAAAGTGAAGCTTTGATTTTCTTTTCTCTATTTGCTTTTCCATTTTAGATTTGGCCATGACATACCAGAATAATGACTAAAATGAAATGACAAATAGCTGTTTTACATTCATTTTTATTCTTGTCACAAATGACTCATGCTCATGTGAAAAATGAAATTGCAAATGTAGGTATTTTATTTCATTTTCAGTTTTGGCAGGATATTTGCGCAGATGTTTGGAAAAAGAAATGGCAGAAAAAGAAGTTTGCATTTACATTTTATTGTTTTAATTCTAATTTCTTTTTTGGCCTGATTTGCCTTCCATATTTTACAAGAAATTATTTCGCTTTTCCTGGTGGAGATGCAGATTATCTTGTTCGGTTTTGGGGGCACTCTCTCCTTCGGTACAGGAGTGAAACAAATTAAAATTAACTAGAACATCTCTGTTTGTGGAAACATCAACTCGCAATCTCTGCCATTGTTGCCAAACTGCGCTTGTGCATCGCTCCTCACATTTGCGGTCACATTACGAGCCGTGCAGTCCGCGGTGGCGTTAGTGCATGCAGAATTGGCAGAAAACTGCTTGAGAAATGCTTTACATATTGTGTATTAAAAATAATATTTTATTAGAATAACCTAAGTAACGCAAGTGACAGTTTATAATAAAGTTAATACCTGTAATGTGCTTACAAAATATTTGACTGTAATGCGTTGTATTACTTCGATACAGAAAAAAGTTATCATATTATTGTAATGCGTTACTTTGTACCGCGTTACCCCCAGCACTGTTAATGAAATATGTATCATTAATAACAAGTGCTATCCTCCATGGGGTGATGGGGGCAGGTTTAAAAAATAAACATAAAAGAGAGAGGAGCCATTGTATCTGAGTGTGCTGTGTTGTAATCGCTGATCCATTAACCATGAAACCACAACCACAGCCAGGCCTGAGCCTCCCACACTGACCTGTGGAGGGACCTGTGAAAGTGAAAGCAGCACAAACTACTCTGTTTTTACATAACAGAGAAAACAGGATGAGTATCTTACCAGCCTCCATGCTTTCTGTCTGTGGTGGGCGGATCTTCCGCCAAGCCCCCGAACGGACTGAAATCGTATTTACTAGTCAACCATCCAGTGAATACAACCGTCCGATGATCAGTATAAGACTGACCCGCCTGGAGCTGGTCCAGCCCGCAGGAACAAACTTGCAGAGTTTGTAAGTAAACAAATCCGTTATGGCGGCGTTCTTCACCAGGATTTTCGGAAAGGTGAATAAACCTGCACATTTTTACTCGTTTTAAACAGCACATTTATTATTACATTACTGCTGACCGCTATTGGACGTCTGTCCAGTCTGAAAGAAGGTAGTGGCGATGTTTGTGGAAATATTAGCCACGTCGCCAGCGTGGTTAACTACACACTTAAAAATGTGGTTCTTCAAGGGTTCTTTAGTAAAGAAAATGGTTCTATATAGAACCATGAACGCTCAAAGAACTCTTCATTTAAATGTTAAATGTTGCATCGTTCTTCAGATTGATGGAGAACGTGCTGTAGATGGTTCTATATAGAACCTATTTGAAAAGCGTTTTATATAGAAAAGGGGTTCGTCTATTGTGTCAAACTTGACATCGTAACGATAACGGAACCCTTCTGGTGCAATACAGAACGATTTTCAGAAAAGGTTCCATACAAAACCATCTACAGCACATTCTGAAGAACACTTTCACTATGCAAATGTAAGGGGGTTTGAAATCTTAATAAAGATGCATTAACACGCCTATACAATGTTGTTCCTCATACTGGATTTTAAAAACAATGAGGCAACTTTTTGTGTGTCCTCTTATTTCATTCTTTTCTTTGGTTTGGGTTTCTTAATAAACTTCATGTCTTTTAAAAACAGATCAGCTTAAGTAATAGGGTACTAACTCAGTTCACGGCTCTAGACCAGCACGGGGCGCTCCTTACTAAGAGGGCGGCTGGTGTGTATAAAACTGAGGAAGTGACCGTAACGTCTGTGTCCGTTCTCTTTGATTAAGGGATGTGTTACCTGGGACCGGTAACACAAAGAACCCTTTAATCATGCAAAAGGCCCTTTGAGTGTTCATGGCTCGATATAGAACCATTTTCTTCACTAAAAACCATTGAGGAACCATCATTTTAAGACCGCGGTAAAGTTGGTTTTATGTTCGAGATTCGACACACGTTCGCACTTCCGACGTTAGTAGAGTTAAGAGGCCCATGACGAACCTTTCTCTTCCATATTCCTTCTCCACAGAACACAGAACACGAGCTCCTGACTGCACTATTCCCCTTTTTCTGTAATTGCTTTTTAAAAGAAATTGTCGACACATTACAACAAACTGAACCGTGCATTAAGCGGATTTTCGCGTACAAAAGTAAGGGACCGTCGTCAAAGTGCGCGTCCTCATGTACAAGTCTTGTTCTGAACGTCAAAATCTCAATAGCGTCTATACTTTAGGGCCAACTGAACCCCAAGCAACTAAGACCTTCCTGTAATTGTAACTTACTACAGCAGCAGAATTTAAATTCGCTGTTGTGTTGAATTATGATTAATGTTCTAAACTCACAAAATAAAAAAAAACTTGTAAAATGAAACGCATTAAAGTCTGTTCTATCCTTCCAACTAACTACAGCAAGTCAATAAACCCCAGTTTTAGTTAATGTTTTAAACATTAAACAATCAATAGGCCCTTTACTACAAGACCTAAAATTTTTATGACGAAATGCATTAATGTGTGCCCTATTATTGCAACTGACTACAAGTAGAATTTGAATTGTATTAAAGTTTAAAACATTTGTCACACAATTATCATTGGTTTCTTTACTCTGGGGGCCTTGATTTAAAATTAATATTCTACACAAATAAAAAAAATAATAATAAATCAATAGATTTTTTTTTTCTGTAGAGACCAAAATGGTGAGCCAAATGCATTATAGAGCTTGTCATTAACACAGTTTACTACAGCAAACAGAACTCAAATGAAGTGTTCTAGTGAATTTTAATTTATATTGTATAGACCAAAAATTCAATAGCTTCTTTACAGTAGGAGCCAAAATTATAAAAGCAAATTCATCAAAGAGTGCCATTTTACTACAACCTACTATAGGAACTGGAATTTGAAGAAAGCGTTGAGGATAATATTGATTAATGTTTTAATAATTAAACATATAAAAGATAAATGTAGGGGTGAAAACTGTAATCCAAATGCATTAAAGAGTGCCCTGTGTGTGCAGCTTACTACAGCAAGTTAACTGTTGGGTTAAAATATAATTAATATTGTACGCACAAAAATTTAGTGCCTTCTTAATTGAAGGGCAAAAATTTGTCAACTGCACTGAAGAGTTCCCTATTATAGCAACTAACTACAGCAAGCAAAATTTGAAATGAGTGATGGGTGGAAGTATGATTAATATTTTATAAACAGAAAATTCAATAGCTTCTTTACCGAAGCGCCCATGTTTGTTAAATCAAATGCATTGAAGAGTCCCCTATTATTGTAACTAACTACAGCAAGCAGAATTCAAATTACATGTTTGGATATAAAAAATATAAATATAAGAAAATCTTGTGAATTTAGAATATTCATCATAATTCAACACAACAGTGTATTTAAATTCTGCTGCTGTAGTGAGTTACAATTACAGGAAGGTCTTAGTTGCTTGGGGTTCAGTTGGCCCTACAGCATAGACGCTATTGAGATTTTGACGTTCAGAACAAGACTTGTACATGAGGACGCGCACTTTGACGACGGTCCCTTACTTTTGTACGCGAAGATCCGCTTAATGCACGGTTCGGTTTGTTGTAATGTGTCGACAATTTCTTTTAAAAAGCAATTACAGAAAAGAGGAATAGAACAGTCAGGAGCTCGTGTTCTGTGTTCTGTGGAGAAGGAATATGGAAGAGAAAAGTTCGTCATGGGCCTCTTAACTCTACTAACGTCGGAAGTGCGAACGTGTGTCGAATCTCGAACATAAAACCAACTTTACCGCGGTTGTACAGAGACACGCCTGACAAACACATTACAGCCTTTTGTTTGGTTAAATTTTTAATAATTTTTTTTAGAAGTAAATTGTTACTGTGTCACATCCATATGACTTAGAGATGTATTATTCTATTCTATCACACACACTTGTGGCCCATTTCTAAGACTGAACAACAAACATACAGTATTGTTTTAATGTTTTAGGCACTTGAGAAAAATGTATTTGTTAAGAAAAGCATAAATATTAGGATGAATACAAATTTCCAAACATTTCTAAACCCGCATGGGGTTTCTAAACCCTTGTGGACTTTTCATCCACTTATCGGTTTTATTCATCAGGCTTTCATTTCAGTCAGGAGTGCTGGTTGTTGGATTTGAACCAATCCATGTCGTGGCTTAGGACATTGAGGAGAATTTGGGAACTGAACCTTGCTGCTCTAACCAGCTCACAATATCTCAGCTACTTTTAAAAACAAGAAATGCTTATTACATTTCACTGCACTGACTGCAATGCTTGTATTAATTTAAATATTGTGTTTTACGAGCCAAATATGCTTATAGCCAACACAAATGGTTTTGAATTAAGGACTTTGGTCTCTTGCCTTACAAAGTTTTGCAGGTTTGAATGCATTTCTTGACCAATTCTTGTAGATCTACAGATCTGCAATCACCTTAAGCATACTTAGGCACATCTCATAAACCTTTGGTTTGGAAAACATGCAAGATATATAGGGAGTTTTAGGAGCATGTTACGCAAAGCTGCACCGTGGGCATTTTAATTTCTGGCAGTACATTTTAACTGTGACACATTTTGCAGTCCTACTAGAATATTCAATATACATTCACTAGAATTTTCCTGATAAACCATTCGTAAGTGCACTACAACTTTTAGCAGCATTCTGTGGTCAAATGGACGTGACACAGTAGCAATTTATTTCTAGAAAGGAAATAATTAAAATTTAGTCAAGGCATATTTTACCAAACTAAAAGTTGTAGTATGTTTGTCACTAATTTATTGTTTTTCAACTGAATGTAGTTTTAACAAATTTTACAGATATAACTAAATATTTATGAGCTGAGGGGACTGCCTTAACCGTATGCAGTAAGACTCTCACACACACTATATGCCAAATAAACAAGATATCAAATCATAACTGCGTTTTCACAGAGTATCAATACCTACAACACTCGCTTTTGTCATGTTACAGGTTTTATTACTAATATTTAAAATTAAGACACTAGGATACAAATTTATTTCAGAAGGTATCAGACAGTGACGCGCATTACATTTTGGCTGTTTCCACATATTTTCAAATGAGTTTGCTGAACACATTTACATACATTTATTTTTGTCTGGCACATTTCTGTGTGTAATATTTCCCCAAATATTTTAAAATAAATGCATTTTAAAATATGTTTGGTTAATATGACAAAATATTCTGAAATACATTTTAGTATTTGGAATGTATTTTGGCATGAAAACTGAAATGTTTTTGAAATATATTACAAATATATAAAAATACAAAACGAAAGCTAACACCATGGTCCTGAATGGCGTGGTGATCCAAGGAAAGTTCACGCCTGTAGTGCCCCTCGTACAACCTGCTAAGAAGATCACACTGTCCAACGTCCCACCCTTCATTAAAGATGAGCTGCTAACTGCAGAGTTAGCTCGCTTTGGTCAGTTTGTGTCCCAAATGAGGAAGATTCCATTGGGCTGTAAATCTCCCTTACTGAAGCATGTGGTCTGCTTCAGACGGCAGATCTTCATGATTTTAAAGAACGGGATTGATGAGCTGAATGTAGCCTTTAAGTTTAAAATCAGTGATTTTGAATATGAAGTGTTTGCAACCTCTGACACAATGAAATGTTTTGGGTGCGGACAAGTGGGGCACTTGAGGCGTTCATGTCCCTTTAGGGCGGGTGATGAAGGCACCACACAGGCCTCAGCCTCTGCACCTGCTGGTGGTGGCCAGGTGATGAGTGCAGCAGGGGGCAGTGAGACAGGTACCAGAGCTGAGGATGTGGAGGAAACTGTTGCCTCGGGTACTCAGACTCAGGCTGGGGAGGGGGGTGAAGCAGCTGAGTCTGGTCCTGGGGATCCTGAGAGTAGTGGACAGAATGTTGGGCAGGGGAGCTTTGGGTCTCTAAACGAGGCTACTGCTGAAGCTGAGGAGAGTGTTCATTTAATTTTGGAAGGGGAGGGCATGGAGACGGATACTGTGGCTGAGGAGGCCATTTTCAGAGCACTGTCTGGAAAAAGG